ATGACAGGAATCAAAACAAAGACCCCAACTATTCCCTTTCTGGGGGGTGACTCACCCCCAGGAGGCTCCGCAGGACGTATTCATTGCAAGCAAAGAGAGGCACCTCCAGCAGAGCCATCAACAGCATCTGGATGGGATTCACCCTGCCCAGAACAGCCCCGGTGGAGATGAGGATGGCTGCGGTGCAGAAGTCAGCACTGACCATGCTGGGAAGGAGAGGCAAAGCACTGAGCTGGATCCAGAGCAGCCAAGGCAAGGGCAGGACTGGGGAGAGTGAGTCGACTGGAGCTAAGCCTGAATCCCACATGCCATCCCCTACAACCCAAACCCTGCCTCTCCAACCCATGCTCCACACCCTGCTCCTGCAAGCTGAATGGGCAGCCTGAATTTTGCTGTATCGGTGGCAAGGCTTGCATGGCTTGGGCAAGTGGGTCTCAGCGTTCCCCTAAGCACTCGGCTGATGCTCAGCTAGCAGCCTGGTCCTCACAACCCTCCTCGAGAGCAGAGCAGTGAGTTTTACAGAGGAGGGAGCCAGTGTGCAAGGGATGGAGCTGGGCTGGGCAGCATCGGAGCAGCAGCACCCTTCCAGCCTTACCTCTGAGTGCTCACGTAAATCTTGCTGTTCTGGGAGAAGTAAAAGAGCCCCTGGGCCAGTATGGCCCACTGGATGGTGAAGGCCACGATGAGGAGGCTGCCAGCCACACTGCCCACCCCGTAACGGCTGAAGAAGGCCAATAGGAAGCCAAAGCCGAGGAGAGCTCGGAGATGGGCATCCCGGAACCCTGGCAGGAGGCAGAGTGGGGCTATGAGGCACCGCAGGCAGGTCCTGGGTTTGGGTGAGAGTGACCCCCACCTGTTAGCCTGGGGTCGAAAAGGTTTTGGGGGTGTTGGAGCCTTCAAGCTGATGGCAATCAGCCTTCTCCACCCACACATGTCCCAGCACAACAGGGAACCATGTCACCTCCCAGCAGCAGTTCCCATAAATGCACATGGTTTGCCCCACAGACTGGAAGCTTTTTGGAGCAGCTTGTGTAGCCCTGTCCACACTACTAACACTGACACAGGGGTGTTTGGAGATATCAGCCATAGTCAGGGACTCCCCTGCTGCTCTGCAAACGTCAGGAGTAAACAGGGACCCAACACGCAAGCAAGCAAGCAAGTGGCACAGCAAGCAAGCAGTGCCATTGCCCCACACCTGGCAGTGACATCAAGCAGAAGACCCACATCCTGCTCTGGGACATTCTTCCCTTTGCATAGCTGGAACAGGTGAGTCAGCATACAGGTGTGGATATGTGGGCGGAACTGGGAGAACTGGCCCACACTTGGCCAACCGCATTGGTGCTGCTGCGTGGGGAGGGAGGTGGCCAGGAGGGGCTGGGGGTAGGGTCTGGATGGATGGCACTGTGCAAGGGGCTCGGTGCCAATCTCCTGGTGCTGCTAACCCGTGTGGGTGGAGTTTGTAGTCCCTGCAATGCCAGGAGCACCTGGTCGAGGAGGGGGGGCGCATGGCAGGCTTTCACCTCCCATGATCCCCATGTCCACCTCTGCTCTCTTTTAGGGATAAAAGCCGTGCGCAGCAACTTTCTGCACCCGTGCCAGGAGCATGAGGCAGGCGGAGCTGCTCCCCGTGCCCTCCTTCTACCCCCCTCCCAGAGGACAGGGTACTCACGGGGGTACCCCAAAGTCGGGCTGGGGTCTCTCTGGCTGCAGCTTGGCTCCGTGGAGCAGAGGTTGGAGCTCTCCGGACTGTAGCGGACAAAGGTGGCGAAGAGGACGATGGTGAGGAGCTGGAGGAAGAAGCACAGCCCAGAGAGGTGCAGCCTTGCAGCAGCACGCTCAGCCATGCTGCAGAGCTCACCGAAGCGGCTGAGAGCTGCCTGCAAAGTCTGCCTGCAAACCACGCCTGCGAGGCCAAGTCCTGCCCGGAAAAGCCCAGGAAAATGAGAGCAAGAAGCAACCTGGGGCTGCTGGCAGAGCTGGTTCCCTCTGGGGTTGAGAAGCTGCAGCAGAGCCTTTCTTTTGCTTTGCTTTGCTTTGCTTTGGTGAAGTTGTTTGTCCTGCACTGAGAAGGAAGAGGAAGAGGAAGGAGCTGACAAGTAAAGTACGGCCACTTTGGGGGAAGTGGCTCGGGTGCTTTGTTGGTGCAGCCAAACTGTGATCTCACACTGCCCAAATGAAAGGGGGGGGGAGGACGGATGCCGGGCAGGGATGAGTCAGGGCTGCTTTGGGGTGTAGCTACTGCTTTCATGTGGGAAAAATGCAACCACCAGAAAGCCTGGCCATTGTGCTGCAGTGCTGGAAAGCCTTGAACTGCAGCCGGGCACTGCTGAACCGGGCACTGCTGGGAGTGCTCAGGGTCTGTTTTGGGTACAGATCCATGGGAGAGCTGGGGAGTAGCATCTGCTGTTGTTTTTTAACCCATTCTGGAGTAGCAGGGCACTGTCCCCTTCTTGTTCACAGCGGTTTGAAGTGTGGGGTCCTTGGGGGCCTGCAGTGCCCAGAGCAGGGTGATTGCTTTGACCAAAATGAGGCAGAAGCTTGGGCAGGGGAAGCCTCCTAGAACAGCACGCACGGTTCTGCTTCCCACCCAGGGGCTGTTTTTGCATTGTGCATGCCAAGATCACTGTGTCCCCAGCTAGGACAGACAGACAGACGGACGCTTGTTTGCATTCGTGTGCGATGAGCTTCCTCCAGTCCTGGAGATGCACCCTGGGGGAGGGAGCTGATAAGAGAACCCAGAACACAGCCCTATTGTTTGGCCTTGTTTTGCTGCTCGCACCATCCCAACCCCAAAGTGACAGCAGCAAAGCTTCTGCCGTGGCTTTGCACTGGGCAGGGTGAGGCTGGGGGGGTGTCAGGGTGGGGGGACCCCCCCCCAGTGCTCTCCCAGATCGTGGCGTCAGCAACCCCAGAGCCAGAGACTCCATGCAGGGAGCGTGGGTTTGATCAACACTGATGGCTGTGGGAGCAAAGAGCAGAATTTCACGGGGAGCAGCACGGAGGGGATCTGTGCCTGCAATGGGGGGTGCGGAGCCCCGCATGGTGCTGACATTTTCCCTGAATTCTCTTACTCTGTGGCCTGTGAATAAAGGGATGCTTGTTAGCTGGCGAGCGCTGTGTTTTGCCGAGCAGAACAATACAGAGAAAGATGCCCACAATGGGAAATTGTGCTTCCTCCTCCCCGTGCGTTCCTCGGGGAGGTGTTGAAAAAAAAATAAAAAGGAAAAAAAAGAAAAGAAAAGAAAAAAAGAAAGGAGAAGAAAACGGGAAGAGACGGGCACAGGGCAGGGAGCGAGAGCACAGCCAACACTGATCATGGGAGCGGGACGTGGGGCTGCTGGGGCACTGCCTGCCCCAGGATGGCGATGGTGACGGTGACAGCAGTGCAGGCTCACGGGGAGGGCAGGACCCAGCTGGGAGCACCCACAGCCGTCCCTGTGTCCTCGTGCCCTGTGTCCCCTCTTCCCAGCAGCATCGCAGCACAAGTTTGAGCTTTCCAGAGCCCTTCATCCTGAGATGGGGTGGCTGTGACAGAGCCAGGAGGCAGGCGGTGGTGGATGGGCACAGCAGCTCCCCTGAGGACGGTAAGGAGTGATGGGGACTGATGATGGTGGTGGTGGGAGAGGGGGCTGCTCTTACTTATCTCTGTGCTTGGCACCTCTCAGATCATCGGTGTCCTGTGTGATGTCCACTTTGCAGGGCAAACACTGAGATGGTTTGGTTGCTGCCCATCTCCCTGCTGCATCCCCCAGTCTGTCCTGCTGCGTGGCCCTGATCCCTTTGCTCCCCCCAGGCTTTCTCCAGTCCCCAGCTCTAAAGATGCACCGGGTTCTGCTTGCATCCTTCTGGCTCCTGGCAGCATCCCCCACCTCCAGCATCTTTCAGAAGCCAACAGGGAGCCCTGGTAGGGAGCGGGAATGGGGACAGGACACTTCTGCTTGGGGACAGTATTGGGAGGTTTGGGCAGGGGTTGGGATGAGCATCCTGGAGGCTGCAGCAGCAGGGAAATGAGGTGGGATGGTTGCTGGAAACCAGGCTGATGAGGGTGGTGGGGAGGTGCTGAGGGGCAGTGGGGCTGTGGCAATGCCTAGAGGTGAGCCGGTGCCCCGCAGCCACCCCACGCCTGCAGTACCTGCTGGAGCCCCTGCACACCGCCGTGCACACGCAGCGAGGTGCCACGGCCACGCTGCCCTGCGTGCTGCGCGCCCTGCCCCGCAACTACCGGGTGAAGTGGAGCAAAGTGGAGCCAGCCAACTATGGGGAAAACGTTATCATCATCACCAACGGGCTGTACCACAAAAACTACGGGCCGCTGAGCCCCCGCGTGCGCCTGCGGCACAGCCACCGCTATGATGCCTCGCTCACCATCACCGATGTGACCTTGGAGGATGAGGGACGCTACCGCTGCCAGCTGGTCAACGGGCTGGAGGATGAGAGCGTCTCGCTCACGCTGCACCTGGAGGGTGAGGGATATGGGGAGGCTCCAATGGGTCCCCATTGCAAAACCACTTCCCCCAGACTCCTGCTCAGCACCAGGTCCCTGGGGGCAAGAAGCCAAACCTCCATGGTGAGAGCATGTCCCTCTGTCCCTGTCCTCTAGGTGTTGTCTTCCCCTACCAGCCCATCAGTGGGCGCTACAGATTCAACTACCACGAAGCCAAGCGTGCATGCGAGCAGCAGGATGCCCGGCTTGCCACCTACCAGCAGCTCTACAAAGGTACTATCCTGCAGCATCCCAAATCCTTCTGTTGCTCCAAATCTACCTTGCTGGTAGGGATGATGCTGAGTTGGCCAGGCTTCCACCCAGGCTGCCGTCCCCCATCCCTTCTGTGCCCCGCTTTGTTCTTATGGTACGCTGAGGTTCTTCCCACCCCGCAGCTTGGATGGAGGGGCTGGACTGGTGCAACGCAGGCTGGGTGCTGGATGGCACAGTGCATTACCCCATCATCAACTCACGGGAGCCATGTGGCGGCCGCCTCCTGCTGCCAGGCATCCGCAGCTATGGGGCCAAGGACAAGCAGTGGGACCGCTTTGATGCCTTCTGCTTCACCTCTGCACTGCAAGGTACCTCCAGCATCCCCCAGCCCTGTGTGGTGACACTGGGGCTGCTCATGGAGTCATCACCCTCCATTATTTCCTCCCCCCCCCCACCCCTCCCATCCCCAGGTGAGGTCTATTTCATCCGAGGCCACCTGAACTTCAAAGAAGCCGGGCAAGCGTGCCGCAACCACGGTGCTACCATTGCTAAAGTGGGGCAGCTCTACTCTGCGTGGAAGTTTTTGGGGCTGGATCGCTGTGATGGGGGGTGGCTGGCAGATGGAAGCGTGCGATACCCCATCACCACCCCCCGGCAGCGCTGTGGGGGTCTGCCAGAGCCTGGTGTCCGCAGCTTTGGCTTCCCCAGCAAGGAGCTGCGGACCTACGGCACCTACTGCTTCACAGGGACATAGGAGAGGTGGGCAGAGGCAAAGGGGTGGCACCGGCTCTTGTCACCTGAGTGGAGAGCTCAAGGTGGGACAGGGGTCTCTGGGGCATCGTGGGTGGTGCTTGCATCCTCTGATGGAGTGATGAGGCTGAATTTGGGGGAATTTGTGCATCCTCTGATGGGCTGAATGTGGAGGGTTTGTGCATCCCCTCTGACGGGGCTGAGTCTGAGGGGGATTGTGCATTTAATGGAGCTGCTCCCCGCACTCAGCTGCCTCAGAATTTTGTAGGCATTCAAGGCTTGATGGAGAATCCAGAACTATTTCCAGCCCAGGAATTGAGGGGGTCTGGTCCAGCCCCGGTGGGCACTGCAGGCTCCCTGAGCCCCCCAACCTTGGTGCACCCCCGGCCCTGGCCTCGCTTCCTACAGCCATGCAGACTTTGGCTGGTGCAGGCATGCTGGAGAGCCAGGCATTAACGAGTGTGACTAATGGAGTTTCGCTTTCTCAATTAATAAAGCGACAGTAAAGCGGCCTCTGGGACCGCCTGGCCACTCAGTGAGGGGGGTTTGCCAAGGACTCAAGCACTCCCCCCGCAGTGTCCTGGTGTCATCGGTGTCCCTGGCACCACACACAGGGGTTTCTGGGTTTGGGATACAGCTGGAGAAAACAGCGTGGGGACGCATCAACATGGGGACACTTTGGGCTGCTCCTCCCTGTGCCTGTGGCTCAGGGGCCATCGCCGTGCCCAGGCTGCTCCAGCATCGACCTGGTCCCCATGGCTCCATTGTGTGTTCCCCATTCCCAGTTCTGAGGCTGTGTACCTTTGCCTCTCCCACCCATGTGCTTGCTGGCACAGATTTCTCAGTGCCATCCATTTCCTTGCTTTCATTCCACAGAAACATGGAGGGGGCTTGAGATGCATGCATCCAGCAGTGTGGCCATGTCCCGGACACAGCCTCAGTGTCCCCTTCCCCATGTTGCTGTCTCAATACAGAAAGGGGGAAGCAGCAGCTGGAGGCGATGCTGCCATGTCCAAGCTGTCACCTGCCTTCCCCCCAACCCTCCTCACCCCCATCTTCTCCTCCTTGATTTTAACTCTGTTGCCATTCTGGGACTCAAACAGCCCTGGTGCAAGGTGAGACACTGCACGAGTCGCTGGCGATTCTATTTGAGGGACTCTTTAGTTGTTGGGGTTTCTTTGTACAGATATAAAACAAGCAGAGGGCAGGCACCCACCAGGACACCTCTTGCCCTCCAGTGCTGCATTGCCATCCCGGTGACATCCTCATCCATGCCCGCTCCGGGTCCTGGGAAGGTGACAGCTCACTCAGTCCTCGGAGTGCTGAGCCAGCCCTGGGGGGGGGACACAGGAAGCAAAGAGCCCCATTGAAGAGCCATCCACGAGGGGAGGTGTGGGGATGCAGGGGGCTCAATGCTCACCGGGGCGGCAGGAGAGCTGGGGCCGTTCCCAAATCCCATCCTCACGGCAGCGGATGATGGGGGAGCGGCGCGGGGCGAAGCCGTGGCGGCAGTGGTAGCGCGTGATGGAGCCGATCTCGTAGCGCTGCTTTGGTTTGCCGAAGGCGAGGGCGTTGCTGACGGTGGGGGGGGGTCCGCACTGCACTGTGGGGTCGGGGGAGAAGGTGGGCGTCCTGGGGCTGCGCCGAACCCCTCTGCCTCACCACCAGCTCCCACCCCAACTCCAGGTGAGCTGAGAGCGGTCAGAACCCTTTTTTTTCTTGCTATGGGGGGGGGTGCGTGGCTTACCCAGCCCCATTTTGCAGGTGTAGGAGAGGTGGTAATTGCAGGGGACATCACTCCATTGTCCCCCGTCGTGCCACACAATGACCACGCAGTTCTCACCGGAGAGAAAGTAGCTGTCGGGTTGCCCCGGGTGCCAATTTTCATAGAGCTGGGGAGCACAGGACGGGCTGGGGCTTTGCTGGCACTTTGCATTGCGTCCGTGCCGTGGTACCCCATCTCTGTGCTGCTGGTTCAGGCACCCCAAATCACACGGTGCTCATGCCAGTGGTTTCAACTGAGGCTTCAAAACCTGGGATCCATCCCAAGGGATGGAGAAGGACCACGAGGTGTGGTGGGGATGGGAACGGGGTGGGGGAGGGGGATTGGCAGCACGGCTTACCAGGGGGCTGCCGTCGGACCACTGGAAGTCCCCCTCGATGGTGCGGTCGTTGAGGCCGATCCATTGGTACTCGCGGTACTGTTCTGTGGACAGAGGAGGGCATGGGGGGATCTGCCATCCCCTAGCATCCGCCAGGGCGGAGAGTTTGGGGGGGTCGCCGGGAGAGGGCAGCAGAGCCCCAGTGTCCCCATGCCTGTCCGTGGTGTCCCCGTGTCCCTTCCTGCTCCTCCTGGACCGCCCCGCTTCCCAGCTGTCCTTTCTACCAATTAATCCATCCTATTGCCAATGTTTCCTTTCCTTTCCCCCTTTCCTTTTCCCTCTTCCCTTTTTCTCTTTTCTCTTTTCTCTTTTCTCTTTTTTCTCTTTTCTCTTTTTTCTCTTTTCTCTTTTTTCTCTTTTCTCTTTTTTCTCTTCTCTTCTCTTTCCTCTTTCCTCTTTCCCCCTTCCTTTCCACTTTCCTTTCCCCTTTTTATAAAAACATTTGTGATGGTGTCTGCCCATCCAGCTGCCTTTTCCAATAGAGGGAGAGAAGCTTTGGCTCTGCTTTGCCCCTTGGCCAGACCCACTGTGGTGGGACGCTGGGTCCCATGCCCTGCAGGTTGGGGTGGCCCCACGTACCGTTGATGAAGTCCTGCTCCTCGGGGGTCAGGATGGTGGCCAGATGCCCCCCAAAATGTCTGCACTGTGACTCGGCGTCCTCCCAGCTCCTCCGAGTGGAGAAGTGCTTGTAGCAGGCTCCCTGGAAGCTGTCCCAGCTGGGGCTGCACCTCTTCAACGCTGAACCACAGCAGGAGAAAAGGAGGGGAGAGAGGACAAGGGTCAGCACCATGGAGCTCAGCCCAGGAGCAAGCCAAAAGAACACCCAAAACAGATTTCTGTGCGCTGATGCCTGAAGGACCACTGGCTGTGTGACCCTGTGGACTCACGTCTCTCACAGCTGCTCCCTCCGTAACCTGGCAGGCAGAGGCAGGTGGGATGGGTGCCATCCTCAATGCAGGTCCCTCCATTCAGGCAGGGGTTGGGGATGCAGCCACCTGCAAAGCACGGGCATCCCTGCTCACTGCATGCCCCTGAGCTGCCCCTCAGCCCTCAGATGGATGCACAGAATCTGGGGCACGGTGGCACGCCTGGAGCCATCCCATCTTCCTGCACTGCATGGGTTTGAGGCTTTGGCGTGTCCCCATCACTCAGCAGGACACTGTTAGAGTGTGCTGTGGATGGGGACGAGTCCTGCTGCCCCCAGAGCGGTGCAACAATGGCTCTTTTGGAGGGAACATGAAAGGACAAGCCCTTGACATGTCCCAGACACACGTCCTCAGCCTGGCAGCAAGGCGAGCCTCGTGCCTGTCCCCAGCCTTACTGCTGTCACCTTCAGCCTGCCCAAGGCTGAGAACTCAGTGGTGCCATCCTTGACCTGCAAAACCAGCACCAGCCTGTTCCGGTCATTAAGACACACAGTCATTAATCCGTCCCCAGCTCAAGAATGTGATTTAGGGCTGTCGCCAGCACCAGCGGCACAGGGAGTGCAAGTCCTTGGCACTATCCAATGCCCTGTGCCCTCGCTTGCCCCAGACAGCATCACCTCCCCGCCTGCAGGAGCACGCAGACATCTCCAGTGGACTGCAGCAGGGTGAGAAATGAGCTATTTAAGGCTTGAGCACGTCCGGCTCTTTGGGAACATATCTCTTCTTACCAGGACATCACATCCACACTGCAAGGTGCTGAGCAGCGCCCATGCTGGGGGGGTGAAGAAAGGAACCCCAGCGAGGCTGTCCCACGGGGACAAGGGGCAGCAAGATGGGCAGGGGTTCGGTTGCAGAGCTGAGAGCATCCCAGCTTAGAAGCCAAGAGGAGTTTTGTCCTGGGGTCACTGCTCATGCACCCACCACCCTCCTGCAGCTCGTGGGCTCCATCTCAGCCCCTGGTGCTCACCTCGAGGCTGTGCACCCCCAGCACACCCAACACCCCACAGCTCTGCACAGCATTCAGCTGCGTGCACCGTAGGGATGCTCCAGGGACAGCTCACACCCTGCTCAGCCCCAAAGGCCCTCATCCCTCTGGGGCCCGGGGGGATTAGTTCGTCAGTGGGGATGCGAGCGAGGCAGCGGGCGCAAGGATGAAGGGAAGAGCTAGCCGAGGTGCGTGTTCTAGAAAGCTTTTAATTCCCTTTATTAGTACCACTGTTAGTCAGAGGAGGGTTCGGGACCTTCTTTTGTTAGATTTGTTCCTTTTTTTCTTTTTTTTTTTTCATGGAAACAGTCATTAAAACACTTCACAGAAGTAGAAGAGAATTAAGTGCATGCATAGCTCAGACCAATTTGTTTGACAAATATGTGCTTCTCCGGACCTTTAACCTTCCCTTACCCAGCCGAAGAGAGGAGGAGAGAGAGAGACAGACGGACAGAAGGACAGACAAGAGGAAAGCACAGTGCAAAGGAAAGGTGCTGCCACTCTCTAGTGCCAGCGTGCAGCCAGGAGCGCTGCCACAAGTGCAAAAATGACACAGTGCTGGGGACCCCCGGCCAAGCTTGCACCTGCACCCAGGCTGGCACGCTCTGTGGGCAGGGCAGGCAGTGGGGCGGCCGAGCTGGGTGCTGGGGACAGCCTGGGGGGCCCAGCATGGGGAGAGGTGAGGCCGTCCCTGTAGGTCCCACCTGGTTCTCCGGGGATGGCTGCAAGGAAACCCTCCACGGTTGCAACAGAGGGCATCGGGCGCTCTTCTTCATCCTCCTCCTCTTCCTCACCCTCCTCCTCTTCTGAAGATGCAGCGGGCATCCCGCGATCAGTGCTTGGGGTTTGCAGTGCATCGCTGCTGCTGGGCAACTCTGCGTGCCATGGGGTGACCTCCGTTGCTGGGGCTGTGCCCCCATCCCCTGGTGCTGTGGGTGAGGAGAGCCACGGGGCCCCTGACTGCTCCTCTCCATCATCCTGCAGCTGTGGCGGTGCAGGGGGCAGCGGGGATGCCCCAGGGTTTTCGGTCACATCTCCTGACAGCTCGGGGTCCTCAGCAGCCCCCACAGTGTGGATGGGGGTGCTGGTCCCCCCAGCCCCACGGCTGCCTACGGAGGAGGATGGCTCTTGGATATCTGTCGAAGTGACAAAAGTGGCGCTGGTTGGATGTGTCACCTGGCTGTCCTCGTGCCCAGATGCCCTGCCGTTGTGGGCTGGCCGCCCCACAGCTTCCCACAGGTGGATGGGGACACATGTGGGGACAACGGAGCCAGGTGGCTGGGGATGACCAATGGGTGGCTCTGTGTCACCTGCTGCAGCCACCGATGGGGACAGGGCGTCACTGGGTCCTTCTGTGCCCACCAAGACTGTCTGCACATTCGGCTTCATGGGCTGTCCAGGCTCTTGCCCTCTGCCTGGACTCTCTCCTGCTGTGTTCCCGAAGTCCTCACCCAGCACAGAGCCCAGCGGCCGTTCCAGTGCTGCTCCATCCTCTGCAAGGGGCAAGGAAAGGCAGTGAGACACCCACAAGAGGAGCCAGACAGGAACCAGGCACTGGCATTGCCGGCAATGAGCAGAGCTGAAGGGAAAATGTTGGCACAGTAATGCCTGAGGAGACAGAAACAGCCCCAGGTCTGGTGATGCTTCCCCCTCTGAACCAGCCCCATTGTTCCGGCTTGGCCATTGCATTCTCCTGTCCCACAGCACGTCCTTGCTTGGCCCCTTGCCTCCTCTTGGCACAAATACAGCATGGTTTGACACTGGCCCTGCCCCCTGCACCCTGCCATCCTGGCCACTGGACGGACAGACGGACGACTGCATGGCAGGGACAGACCAACAGCCCCACGCCTGTCACCACCACACCAGGACACCGGCACCCCGGCCGTGGGTGCACCCTCAGTGAGATGGCACTTGGACAGCTCTGTGCCTGCATCCCTGCTGCTGGCTCTCTGCGCCCCAGCCCTGAGCACTGCTGGACCTACCCGTGCGGGATGGCTCTTGCCTGGCCTCTGTGCACCTTCCACCTGTCCCTGTCGCCTCGTCCTGGTCTGCAGGGGACGGGCTGCCTGGTTGTACAGCACAGCTATGCGGGATGCCTGCCTTGGGGACGGCTGGGGCTGTGGGGAAAGGGGCAGCAGAGGATGGGTGACGTCCTCGTGCTGAGGACGAGGAGGTATCTACTGGGGGGTGCCGGGTGTCTTCGGGGGACAGGCTTGGCTTTTCCAGCTCAGCATCAGCCACGTCCTTAAAGAAAGGGACGGCGTATATAGCCCCTCGCGACTCAATCTCCACTTGCGCTTTGGGCAGCTGCAGCTCCTCCAGCTTTTCTGCCACTGTAACAATCTCCTGGAGGCCCTCGGGCTCTCTGGCTTGATATTTTCCTGCAGCCTCAGGGAAAGAGTTTGTCCCTTCTGTGGGCAGAAAGAAAGTGGGGTATTACTGCCTTGTCCTGGCCCCGCGGCAGCTGGGGACAACCTGGGGGATCCCTGTGCCCCGGCTGAGCTGGGTTGTTAGTGGGTTATGCAGTACAGCACTGCGAGATGGGTCCGTCCTGCCTAGCTTCATCCGTGGAGACAGCGGGGAATCCACTGAGAAATGGGAAACTGAGGCACAGAGGCATGCAGCGGATGGTTGGTGGGAGCACAAGGCCCAGGGGACGCTCAGGTAAGTGGGAATGGGAAGAATCTGTGCCTGTTATCCCTGTGAGCCTCAGTCCTCACTCATGTGCCCCGGTGCACAGGGTGCCCTCAGCACCCAGTAGCTCGCTGCCTCTATTTCATTTCCTATCCGTGGTAACAAACAGACCTTACAGACCTGGCAGGCTGTGCCCAGCAGCCTACAGAGAACCCCAAAACGCCTTCAACATCCACACAGGGGCGAACCGTCCTAGAGCCATGCTCCTGCAGCTGGCTCAGCCCCAAGGTGAGGGCTCATGGCATCGACCTGGGACAGGTGCTGTGCCCAGAGCCACCCTGAGCTCACATGGATGGAGACATCCCTGCCCTACTGTGCTTCAGCAGCATGCAATACTGAGGCCGACCTTGCACTATACTGCCATGCGCTATGCAGACCATGCAGGGCAACCATCCTCTATCACGATGTATCAGCATGCAGTGTTGAGATCATGCGGGTTATTCCTCCCCTATCAAGATATATTGGCATGCAACACTGAGCTCATGCAAAGCATCCCTGCCCTGAGTCGGCATGCTCTACTGCAGATATGCAGAACACCCCACACTCCACAGCGACAGGGCGGCGTGGCGAGCACGTAGGGATCTCTATTCTATCCCTGCTTCGTGCACCCCGGAGCCCAGCACTAAACTTTGGGGCCGCGGTGCCCCTGGTTACCTCGGAAGCAGTACGCATCGTATCTGCTCTGTGCATCGGGGAATCCCGTCTGGTTGCGAAACTGGAAGATGGTTTTGACACCCGGCAGGGCTCCTCCGCAGCGCTCCCGCGGGGTGACGATGGGATAGCGGACGCTGCCATCAGCCAGCCAGCCGGGGTTGCAGGCATCCAACCCTGCACTCCAGGCTGCGTAGAGCTGTCCTGTGCTCGCCAGCACCGCACCCTGCGCCCGGCACCGCGCCACCGCCTCCTCCAGGGTAAACTTGTCCGGGGCCGTCTCCAAAAATATTTCCCCTGAAAGGAAGGAAACAGGCATCAGGAGATGGTTCAGGAATGGGGAGAGGGGTGGGTGAGGGTCTGTCCTTGCACATGGGGCAAGGGCGAGCACTGAGCCACCTGCTCAGCTCTCCTGAGCTCTGCCCATATCTTGCTGCATAAGCAAACTTTCCAAAAGAAAAACGTGACTGATGCAGGTGCTGCTGATTCCACCTGGCAGTGGATTCCATGCCATGTAGCGTGCACGAGCAGCAGGGTAGCTGGTATGTGACACACAGGGACAGCCCCAGGGACAGCAGCGCTCCCCAAGCAGTAGGAAGCATCAGTGGTTTATTGCGGCAGGTCAGCAAGGCAGCTCTGCAAAGGGTTGCAGGGAAGCAAGTCTGTGCCCTCTACGGAGCGCTGCACATTTGGGACATTGCTAAGGGAACTGGGTGACAGCGCTGGGCTGTGAAAAGGAGGTTGGACATGGAGCACCACAGGCACCTGGCACGTCCTCAGCATAACAGTACACGTCGTACATGTCCTCCGGGTCCACCACACCGTAGTTCCTCACCCCTGGGAAGCCATTCATGTCTCCGTAGCACGCCTCGCGGGGAGTGTGGATGGGGTACCTGGCAAAGCAGAGGGGAAGAATGGTGGTGGCTGAGGGGTGGCACAGGGGAGTCACTGGGTGCCAGAAACACACCATGGGGAGCTCACCTGACGGTCTGGTCAGCGATCCAGCCAGCATCACATTGCTCATAGCCTCCCAGATAGGCAGCATACAGCTGCTCAGGGGTGGCAATGCTGGCACTGATGGCAGTGCACGCCTCCTGCGCCTCGGCAAAAGTGTAGGTGTAGCGTGTGGAACCCCCACGGTAGTGAAACACCACTCCTGTAGGGAGACACAGGGTGAGAAGCCAGGAGAGAGGATCCGGGCAGGGTCCCCCAAACTGTGCTGCTCCCTTTCCTGTGTGTACCTTTGACTCTGAGGTCGAGGATGTCGTGGCCGTCCTCGATGCCATGCTGCACGTCGCAGCGGTAGATCCCCGAGTCGTTGGGGCGCAGCTCGGTGAGCAGCAGAGAGGCGTCAGTGTAACGCTGATGGAAGACAGGCAAGGAGGCACGGAGGCGGTAGTCCTCACTCACCTTCACCTTTTCCCCCCGTGCTACCAAGATCTCCGCCTCCCTGCCTTCGGAAATGAAGGTCCACTTGACCCGGGGGGCTCCCAGCACTGCTCGGCGTCCCGCCGTGCTGGCAGTGGGCAGGGGTGCGAGGTAGGTGATGAGGCAGGGGATGGTGACGTCCCCTGCCAGCACAGCGTGAAGGGCTGGGTGCCGTGGGATGGACACCTGCAGGGCCTTGAGGTCATCTGGGGGGAGAAGAGCAGAGAGATGAGTGGGGCTGGCATGTGAACCTCCTGCCCCCAGGATACTGGCTACAGTGTGAGGGTGAGCACTGCTGGGGCTGTGTTACCTGTGACATCTTCAGGGCTGAGCACCTCCGGGACCACCGTGGGGGCAAACACCCAGAGCAGCAGCAGTGGGAGAACTGAGGCCATCCTGTGCCCTGTGAGGGGTTACAAAAGTCCAGAAGAGGGTTTGAAGTGCAAAGAAGTATCATAACCTCCAGCTCTCTGCTAGAGGGAGTACTGGGAGAGACTGTTGCCTGCATGCACGGGGTGATGCACAAAAGCATCAGGTTGAGAGCATGCAGCCAGCACGGACCCTGCATGGCATAAAGGAGAGGGAGCAGAAAGAAATGTGCAGATGTGCCCTGAGGAGCAGGAGAGCTGCAGTGCCTCAGCTCAGTGCCCAGGGTGCAATCCAGCCCCAGGGAGAGGGGTCCTCTGGGGACAGCAGATCTGAGCACAGCATGGAAAGTCTGAGCGCACAGCCAGGCAGGAGGAGATGCCAGAGCTGGGCTGCGCATCGAGACACCGCAGTCAGAAACCTCAGAGGGGATTGTAATAGCTGGTGTTGATCAGGGTTGAAGGAATGAGCCACTGAGCCCTGGCTCATGGTGTGAGAGCGTGAGTGCACGCATGCAAGCTGGGCTTTTGGGTGTGCATGCATTGCAGCTTGCATGTGCACTGCAGCATGCATGTGCATGTGTATGGGCACGTACATGTGCTTGTGAGTGTGCTTCCACACGTGTGGCCAGGGGGGTTCAGCTGGAGATGGGGATGCTGAGGGTGCACAAAGCACGGGGCAGTGGGGGAGGGATGGAGCAGGAGGTCTCCTCGTTGCCATTCAGCTCACGCCGGAGGTTTCCCGCGCACAGGCTGGGAAAACCAGGGCCGAGTAAAGCAGCCATTATGTCCCAGGTCTCTCTCAAGGCTGCCTGGCACAAAGGGCTCTCCCCCGCCGGCTGAGGAGCAGCACTGAAAGGAGAGCCCAGCAGCTAGCACGGCTGTCACCAGCTCCGCAGAGCAGCACCGGGGACACTGGGGATGTCACGGAGGAGCTCCAGCCATCTGGAGAGGACACCAGGGATATGGAGAGGTCCCTGCATGGTGCATGGCTCTGCAGGATAGCACGGCCCCATGCACTCCTCTGCAGGGGCTCGCTGGGGCTCGGTGGTTTCCTCGGCCCTGGACTGGCGCGCAGCGACCCTGAGCCTCAGAGAGCCTTTGTAATTTATGAGCTCTTTGTGCTGCATTGATTTTGGCAGCCACTGAAGCAGATTTGGCACCTCTGTGGTGAGCTCTGGCCCAGGTTGCAGGCTGCCAGGGCCAGGCTGAAGGGAGGCTGCCCTGGAGCTGCATCTCTCTGCAAAGGATGATCCCCGAGAACCCCAGGGGACCAACGTGCCAGGGAGTGGTGTGAATACAGCGCAAGAACCAAGGGCAAACAGCCTCCAGCACTACGCATGTACACCTCTTAGCACCGTGCACCATGCTCACACAGCCCCTAGCACCGTGCACTCTGGATGTACAACTCCTAGCATCACGCACCATGGACACACAGCCCAGAGCAGCACACACCATGCACATACAGCCCCTTAGCACCACGCACCACACACGCACGTCCCCTAGCACTGCACGCCATGCGTCCATCCTTTTCCATCCAATACGTGACCAGTGCTGCCAGCACCAAGCTGGGGGCTTTCCCAGCTCTGGATTGATCATTGGAATTCAGCCCCATGGAGCAGATTGAGGGATGGTCCCTGCTGCTTGGTGACTGGCTGTGACCCCCAGTGTGGTGGAGCGAGGCATTTTTTGTCCCAGGCTCTTTTCTTCCTGTTCCCCAGGTGCCGCAGTGGTACAAGCAGGGAGCAGCCGTGAAGCCTCAGCAAGGAAATTCAGGGGATGAAAGCTGCATGAGCGCAGCAAGACGGAGTGAGTGGGGGGCTGCTCCCCTCCTGTGCCCACCCAGAGCTGGGACACCCAACACACTGGGACTGGGGCTCCATAGGGGTTAAACCCAACTCACCCTGCCCACGGGAGTCCCGTGATGGCAGGACTCTCAGGCGTCACTGTTTGAGGTTTGGGGTTTGGGGTTGGATATGTATTTTTTTCCTATTATTTGCCACAAATGGAATTTTTTGTTTAGCCTTCGCAAGGGAAAGGCTGGGAGCAGGAGCAAGGGAAGGCAGCTAAAGGGAAAGTGGGAAGCAGGGAGCAGAGCTGTGTTAGCTCTGAGCTCCCAGCCACGGGGATGGGTGGGATGCTCACGTGCACACTGACTGCCTCCATTTCCCTGGGAAACCAGGTGGAAAATGAGCAGAGGTATTTTGGGATGAGAACAATCTTTCTTTTTCTTCCTCCTCTGAACTCACTCTAATTTAAGCCACAGCAAAGCACGAGTGATGCTGCAAACGGGGGTCCCGAGCCCCTTCCTATCCACACCACCACAGAGAAGCTTTCCCAGGCCCATGCAAAGCCCCTCTGTCCCTGCACGTGACAACTTTGTCCCTGCTCCCAAGGTGCCCTGCCAGCCCATATCGCAGCTGATCAGTGGCTTTCCAGGGATGCTCAGCTGCAGAATGAGTCAGCAGCCACAGGCAGAGCCTGGCCCCGCTCCAGTCTGCCCCGTCCCCCTCCATCTCCGGGCTGCAGGTGCCCCAGTGTTCCCACGCACGTGCCTGTCCCTCTCTGAAACTGTCCCCTCCTTGCTGCAAACTGCCCCTGCTTCCTGCACCACCAACAAAACAAGGGGACCCACCATACTGGGGGGGGGGGGGTCCCAGCAGTGAGCCCCCCATGTGCTGAGCACAGAGGATGCTGCGGGAAGCACCCAGCAGCCTCTTGGCAGCAGCTGCTGGCAGAGCATAAAAGGCCGGAAGCAGGTGGGAATGGGGGGAGGAGGGGTCCTTTGGCTGCCAGAGCTGCTCAACTCCCCCCCCAGCCCATGTTGGAGAAAGGGGCTCCTTGTTGCTGGGCTGGGATGTGCCCCCGCTGCACAGGGAAGAGCTGTGTCCCATCCCCAAAGCCTCATGGAACTGCAAAGGGCAGAGCTGAGCTGGTGGACCCTCAGAGGGACCCCACAGTCACTTGGTCATGGTACACACATCTGTGGAGCTTTGCAAACCCACCCACTGCTGCATGGCTCCGGTGGGAAAACTGAGGCATGGATTGGGGTGGGGTGGGGGAGAAGGTGCCCCAGATTTCAGCAGCAGAGCCTGGCCCCTCAAATCCACCTTCCAAGCACAAAATCACAGCACTGCAAAGTGCTCAGGCTCCCAGTTTGCCCAGTCCAAACCCATTCCCTGCAAAACAACCCCAAATGCCCCGAGCATCATCACCCTGAGCTGTACGGGGTGGGCAAAGACCTGCCCAAAGGGGGCAGCAACCCCTGGACTGAGCCCCTCATGCAAAGAGGTACTGGAGCAAAGGGCAGAAAGGGTCTTTCCCACCCCTCACCATCTGAAGAAGCAGCAACAGTTTCTGGGTCTGCTTGGGCTCTTCCCAGCTGGGGAGCACTGAGGGCTCAGTGGGATGCTCAAGGGGAGCACCTCCATCCCAGAGAAAAAACAGTTTCTGCAAGAGGGTAGGGGGTGCACATCAAAGTGCCCCAAGCCCTGGGCACACACACAAACATTCTGGGTTTGTTCAGTAGGGAAAAGCAATGAAAACCCCACAAAACTTCCCTTTCCTCTTTTTGCCCAGCCCTTCTTGCCCCCCTTGGGACACCAGCAGGAGTGGGGGGAAAGAGCTGGGAGCCGATGGGAAAATCCTGTGATGCTGTGCAGCCCTGCTCTCCCTCAGCCCCCGTGGTGTGGGGCAACTTCAGCCCCAATGCTTCCCAATCCCCCACCCCCCCTGCCAGCTCTGTGCCTCTTTTTCCCATCCTGGTGCTGCCCCGATTGCATCCTCCTTAGAACGAGGACCTGTCCCTGGTTGGCTGAGCAAGGAATGGGCTCCATGCTGAGACCTGCAAGCCCCAATCCCCACTAGCATCAATCCCAAAGTCACTTTCCCACCTCAACCTTCAAGCACTCCCCCCCCCCCCCCCATTCCTGCTCTGCAGAGCCGGCGCCACCTGAAAGAAACTTGCAGAGCTCTGCCAAGGACAAAACGGGGACCGGTGGGAGCATCCCTGCTGGACATCCAGGTCACCCCCAGCAAGCAGGGAGAGCTGTGCCCACCCCCCAGCCACATCACCTCCCCGCTTACTTTCCGCTGGCACAGAGGTGACATGAGATATTGCAATAATAGCGCAGTACAGCCCGCAGGAGGGGCTCTCCCCGTGTCCCACCTTGCTCACGGTGCGGGCGGGGGTCCCCGGGGGCCCGGTTTGGGGTTGAGCTGAGGTTTCTCCGGGGTAGAAGTAGGCAGCAGGTTGGCAGCAGGGCTGGAAGTGAGCTGCACCGGGCATAAGTGCAGACACCGAAAGGAGAGGAGTCCTCTGTGTGTGTCCGTGTCCGCGTCTCTCTCTCTCCCTTTTTTTTTTTTTTTTTTTCTTTTAATCCTTCCTCTTTCCCTCCTCCTTTTATATTTTATTCCTTCCCCTAAGTAAGAAAGAAAGAAAAAAAAAATTATTACCGTGTTGGCTGAGCGCGTTGTCCCTCCCCGTCCCTCCCTCCTGGCAAAGGCAGCACGAGACCCACGCCGCGGCTGCTCCAGCTGGGCACGCTGTTAACCCAATGCAGCAGAGCCGAGCAGCTGGGAAGGGACAACCTATATTCAGCCCCCTCTGGCATCGGGGTGCACTTTGAGTGCTTATTTCCGACACTGGGCACCTTCGGCAGGATGTGGAGCCGGTGGGGGGGGGGGGGGGGAGGTCTGTGAGAAGGGGTCCTGCAGCTGGTGGAGCTGTGGCTTTGTCATGCAAAACCCCCTCTGGTCCCCATGTGTTGGAGGCACTGGAGTGGGACCGGGGTTTTCACCCACTCCTAAGGGAGAAGAGAAGCTGAGAGCTGACATCCTGGCAGACGCCGTGCCTCAGTTTCCCCATCTGCAGCCAGTGATGGGATGGGATGGGATGGGATGGGATGGGATGGGATACGTCTGTATGGGATAATGAATGCAGTCCTCCAGACCCCAATCCTCCTCTCTGAGAGGAATCCAGCAGATGAAGGGCTGAGTCCTGGGCGCATCAGGGACAGGGTTTGCCCCCCTTGGTGGAGCTGAGCCCTGAGAGCCGATATTGCAGCTTTTTTAAGCAGATTGAGCTCAAACTTTCTCTGGCTTACAGCATCCTCCACCCTGGGGAAGCCAGCACGGCTCTTGCCGGATAATTGCTCGGGTGAGTTTGCAGAAAGCCGCAGCTCCTGAGCAGAATTAATCATTTGTCACCCTGGGAAATAATTACACACGGTGGAGAAGGTCTCATTAGCAGCGCAGTCCAGCAGGCGATGCACGCCACAGCATGGCACATGGCTGGGACGCACACCAGGATGGACATAAGGACAGACATAGGGATGGACGCTGGGATGGGCAGGGGGAAATGTGTCTCCCCCCCCTCCCCACCACCACCACCACCAGTCCCAGACCTGTGGCTGCTCCCTCCCATGAGCTCACATCCTGCACCCGGTTCTTTGTGGCAAAGCACTCGGGGATGAGGAAGAGGCAAAGCGCCTGCTCAGCAAGGAGAGATCTCATCCTAATTGGGAACAAATGTTCCTCGCCGGCTCAGCAGAGCAGCTCCTTCACGCTGCCCAAGGGGCCACTGCTCTGCCTGTCCCTCCTGCCCTCTGTGTCCTGATGGGGGGGGAATAGAAAGGACAGATCCAGAGACAGCTGGCATCTGGAAGGGAGAGGGGTCAGGGCAAAGTGGCGGCAGGGCACAACCCTTGTCAGCCATCAGAGAATCCCCACCTGCTGCTCAGCCCCCCCACTCCTCACCCCAAGTGATGTCATGGCCTTGCCAGCCCATCTCATTGTCCCAACAGCAGTGGTCCCATGGGAACCTCGTCCAACAAGCACATCTCCCTTGGCCACAGGCAGTCCCCAGCTGCGTCCCCATGCCCAGCTGTGCTTCTTCCTCCTCCTCCTCCTCCCCCTGGGGCCCTGCTCGAAGCCACGTAGCAGCACCCTGTGCCAAACCCAGTGGGGGCTGCGAGTCTGTGTCACCCCCAGACCTCCCACCACCAAACAGCCACCCCAAAGCATCCTGCAGAGGGAACCACGTCCCCACCCTGGGGGTCCCAACCCCAAGCACCCTCCAGTGACATTGCCACCATCCCAAGCAGGTCCTGACTCCGAACACCCCCCACAGACACACAGACACACGTCCTCATTCTGAGGCTCCCAGCCAAGTACCCTGAAAGGACACACGCATGCCCCAGTCCCAAGTGACTCCCGATCATAAACACCCCAAAGGGGAAGGGGTGCAGCAGCACCTTCCCCTGGGCAGTCCTTCATGCAGACCCCAGGCAGGGCAGGAGGGCTGCCCACTCCTTGGGGAGCCCCATGTTTAGGGCACCCCATGGAGTCTCAGGGGAAGGTGGGGGCACAACGAGGAAAGGCAAAGCAAAGCTCTGGGATCAGCATCGACACTGGGGTGCCTTCAGAGGAGGAGAGAATTTGGAGCTGAGGGAAAAGCGAAAAGACAACGTGCCCAGCATGAACAGAAGAGGATAAGCAACGGAAACGCATCGCCCGGATTATCAGCCTCTAATTAGCAACAACGTCTTCCCTGTGCTCCCTCCTGCCTTCTGGGCTGGGGGAACCCAACGGGGCTCCTGGATGGGATTCTGCCTTCACCCTCCACCTCCCCCCGCCCTCCATACACCCCAAATGGCGGAAGGACGGTGGCTCGTGGACGCAGTGCCCGAGTAGCCCCATGCACTGCAGGGCTCGCGGTGGATCTGGATGGCTTTGGCCAGCAGAGGGGACTATTGCTCGCCTCTTTCTTGCAGCGGGGCGGGAGCTCAGTGGAGACGACGTGGGACAGCTGGGAGGGGACGCTGATTCTTTGCAATGCAGGGGACAGCCCAGGGACTCTCCCCACCGCCCCTCTAGGAGTGGGGGGCGTAGGGGGTGGGGGTGTATCCGGGAGAGAAAGAGCTGGCACAAAGCCTCTCCCCGATTATTTCTTTTCCGGCCTCTTTTGTTCTCAGACAGCTCCAAGTTGGAATTTCTAAACCCTCCTCCCCACCCCTAGAATAAATCAACTGGAAAAGAAAAATTAAAAATCAAAAAGGATGCCCGCTGGGCTGGCTGGATAGAGGGCTGTGGAGCTGGGGCAGGATTTATGCCAGAGCAGTGCCTCTGGCTGAGCTCAGATCTGCTCCAGACACTGAGATGCACTGAGAGTGCACAGAGCATCCCCACAGGGCGTCTCCTCCCCGGGACACCAAAGCCCTCGGTGGCACCGTTTGGAGCAGTATAAAGAGCCCCACAGTCGGGCACTGGGGGTGGGGGTTTGCCCTTGGAAAACCCCAGGTAAAATTTGTGTGAGCCTCTCTCCATGCCAAGCTCACTTGGTGCTCTGTTTGATTTTGGGAATTAGCTGAGCTACAGATGGCACCAATCCCCGAGGCGCAGGGTGCAGTGTGCTCTTCAGGAATCCCCGCTGTACATAAAGGGGAAACTGAGGCACAGCAAAACCCATCCCTGCCCTGAATGAATCGACCGTCCCCACAGCATCCCCCCAAAGCGCAGCTCCTCCCCAGCGTGGCGCGTTGCCATCCCCACTCAAGCACTGCCCAACATCCCAAGGGGGCAGAGGGGGATGGGGCACAGGGACGGCGCTGGCAGCAGCTGTGCCGGCTGTGGAAGGGTTAACTGCTCCTCTGCTCGGGTCTCAGAGGCCTCCCACTCACCCGGCGTGAGTATGAATAGCTGCGTTCGCCTGCGCCGGCACCGCTCTGCTGCCTTCCTTCTGCCGCCGAGATGCTGAGCACGGAGGGCTTCGTGGGGGCGAGAGCTCTGGGTGAGGAATCGCTGCAGATGTGGGACCTCAACAAGCGCCTGGAGGCCTACCTGGCCCGCGTTAAGTACCTGGAGGAGGAGAATGAGGGGCTGCGAGCTGAGATCCAGAGCACCAAGGAGAGCCCGGCCGGGGACCCACGCAGAGCCAGGTACGAGGAGGAGCTGCGGTCGCTGCGGGATGCGCTGCACCGCGCCTTCACCGAGAAGTGTGCGGCCGAGCTGGCCAGGGACAACCTGTACGAGGAGGTGCAGCATGTGAGGAGCAGGTGCCAGAAGGAGCAGGCAGCCCGCGAGGAAGCCAAGAGGCAGCTGTCCTCCAGCAAGAAAGAGCTGGAGGAGGAGAGACGGGCGCAGATCTGGCTGAAGGAGAGAGCTGTGCAGCTGGAGAAGGAGGTGGAAGCTCTGCTGGAGGTGCACGAGGAGGAGAAAGCGGGGCTGGACCAGGAGCTCGCCAGCTTCTCTCAGAGCCTGGAGGGCTTCCGTTGTGCTCCGGTGGCATTCCAGCCCGTGGAGGTGGAGGACTACTCCAAGAGACTGTCAGAGATCTGGAGAGGGGCGGTGGAGACCTACAAGGCGGAGGTGGCACAGCTGGAGCGTGCACTTGGCCAAGCCAAGGAGAACCTCTGGCAGGTGGCAGAAGACAACCAACAGAGCCAACTGCAGCTGCGGCACCTGGAAAAGGAGCTGGTGGGGCTGAAGGTGCGGAAGGAGATGCTGGAGGAGAGCCTGGGCCAGCAGTGGCAGGAGCAGCATGGAGAGGCTGAGAAGTTCCAGGTGGGGAAAGTGGGGAGCTTGGGGGGGCTCGAAAGCTGGGAGGGTTAAGAGCAGCCCCCGGGTGGACTGCAAGCCCCAGGGCAGCAGTCATTCCTTCCCATTTCTGCTGCCACTGCCTTTGGGATGGATAAACTTCATCCGACTTAGCCACAGCTGCAGGCAGACAGCTGCAAAAGTAATTCTGCAGGGGAAGTTGCGGCGGGAGCAGGCTGGAAATGCAGCCCCAGCTCATAGCTGGAGCTAGAGACCCCACGCAGGGAAGGGTCCCTCTTTGTTCCCGGTTTGAGGATGGAGAAGGGGATGCCACAGCCATCCTCTCAAAGGAATCCTCCTTCCCAATCTGACATCGCATGGTCCCGATCCCCCCCGCCTTCCCATCCCTCCTCCAGCGGCTACATCCTTCTTGCTTTTTTACTCCATTCCTCTCCTTGCTCCCTTGAACCCTCTTCAACTTCCCCATGTGAAAAGCAAGTGCCCCTCCTCCCTGCAGCACCCTGAGCACCTGGGCACCCCCAGGACACCCATCTCTGACATCCCCAAGGAGTACTGAGGGCACCTATGGGTGACAGCGAGAGCCGCCCCAAGCAGTGCTGGGGTTGGATGGATCCAGGCTCCCCATCCCCACTTCTTGTCATGCAGCAGGCGGTGCCAGAGTGGAGTCACAGCTGCTGACCCACATCCTCCGGAAGAGGACGGAGTGCTTAATTTCCCATGGGACAAAGAGGGTCAGGACCAGGAAGAAGAGAAATGATGGGGGTGGTGGGAAAGGCACAATCCGGGCAGAAATGTGCCACCAGAGCTCCCTCCCTTTCTGGGGAGATCAATCAGGTTCCTGACCCTGTGCTTCTCACCACAGCTGGCCATCGAGGCCCTGGAGCAGGAGAAGCAGAGCCTGCAGGTGCAGATCGCCCAGGTGCTGGAGGACAGGCAGCAGCTCATGCACCTCAAGATGTCCCTCAGCCTGGAGGTGGCAACCTACAGGTGAGGTCTCCTTCACGGTGGCACTGCTCCCTCTGGGGACACAGTGCTCCCACTGTGCTCCCGTGTGCTCAGAGCAGGGTGATGCCCCAAATCTCCCCTTGCAGCATTACCCAACCTGGCTGGACAGAGCTGTAAGAACTGCTGGGAGACTCTGGGGCTGAACCCTGCAGCCCTCAGTCCGCTTGCAGCCCTTCCAGATGGCCCCAGACAAAGGCAGGCTCGCAGAGGACTGGGGGTACGATTAGCATGAGAATAGGGGCTGTCCCCAGCGGAGGGGCCTCCCCGGCAGAGCATGATGTCACCCGGTAGTGAGGACACCAAGCTGGGGATGGGGGGATGGGAGGGGGCCCACAGAGCAAGGAGGGAAGAGATCCTTGGCAGGCAGTGAGGGGCTGCCCCCTGGGATCCCCTACCCCCCCACCTCACACCCAGGTGAGACAACAGTTCGGCCCCAGAAAAACCACCCACAGACATGTTATGCTTCAGTTTACCTTTGAAGCATCTCCCTGAGTTGCACAGGGACTGACTTGATTTGGCAGCTCAGCAAAGATATCACCCCCCTTCTCCCCCCCCCTCACCCCCCTCCAACACCTCTCCTTACAGAACACTGCTGGAAGCAGAGAGCACCCGGCTGCAGATGCCTCCCGGGGAGTTCAAGCTGGCCAACAGCCTGCGAGGTAAGGAAGGGCCAGGGAGCAGAATGATTTTCCTGGCAAGGGTTGGTCAATGCGATAGGAAGGTGCTAACAGCAGGCTCTGGTCTTGCCGGCACCTCTGTATAGAGTAGATAAGGGCTTATCTGCTCCTTCACTTCTTTTTTTGATTCCTCCCCTGCATGAGGAGCCTGAGCACGGGACCTCAGGCTGGGCAGCAGGCTGAGCATTTCCTTTTTTCCTTAAATATATTGAAAAGCTGTCACCTGCACACATCCCTGCAAGCCCACCGCATCTCTGACCCTACTGCTGCAGGCACAGCAGAGCATCCGTTGTCCCATGAGGTACCCCTGGCAGCATCAGTGCTCTGCAACACTCAGGGGAGGAATTTCTCACTTCCCAAGAAGTGTTTAAAAATAGGAGAGGGGTCAGCAAGAGGGGAGAGAGGAGCTGTTAGGCTGCAGTTGGGTGATCTCTGCCCCAGCCCTTGGGTTTTGGGCTGTGCCCCCCCACACCGTGCTCTCCCTGCTCTCTGCAGATGTCAAGCTGGAGGTGAGCACCAGCAAGCACCGTGCCAGCCTTGCTGCCTTCCCCCGGCCCGAGGGGGTGGCACAGCTGTGCAGAACCCCCGGTGATGCCCTCAAGGCGCTGACTCCCAAAAACAAGAGCTCCAGTGCACAGGAGTTCCAGAAAATCAACTCAGTCCTGCAGGCACCGAGGAGCTGGGAGCCTGCTGCCCCCAGTCACGCTGTCCCAGTGCTGTCCCCCGTGCCAGGCAGTGGGGGGGCAGAGAGCCCAGCCCATGAGTGTGGGGCTGGTGAGGAGTCCCCCATGCAGAGCCCACTGAGTCCTGAACAGCTGGTCAGCCACGCACTGCAGGATGCTCTCAAGGAGATGCAAGATGACGCTGAGGCCAAAGAAGTGCCCAAATTCAGTGCTACCCAGAGTACCAGGGATGGGGATCTTGAAGACCCCATGGAGGAGGAGGCTGCAGGAGCCCAGGAGATGGGTGTTGAGGGTGGTACCGTGTCCCCACCTGGGCTGTGTCTCTGCAGCAACGTGCCCACATTGCTAAGTGCCACCCAGAGTGATGCGGAGAGCCGGGAGGAGAAGTGGGAGGAGGATAGGAGTAAAGAGGAGGAGATGTTGAACGCACTGAGCTCCACGGAGAGCCAGGAGCCAGGGGGAGAGCCCTGGGGAGGAGACACAAAGGGGTCCAGGCTGGAAGTGGGCAAGGAGGACATGGAGGCCACCAGCATGGAGGCTCTGCATGTCTCGGAGTACAAGGAGCAAAGGGAACTCTGGAGCCCTTCCAGAGAGGATGAGGAATGTGAGTTCCCAGATCAGGAGAGGGAAATGCGAGAAGAAGGGTCCCTGCAGACGGAAATCGAAGCTGCTTGTGCTGTCCCTCTGGGGAGCCACCCAGTTTTGCCTGCGGGAATCCACTTGCAAGAGGACTTTGTTGAAACAGAGCTGAAGTCTGAGCACCAGGAGATGTCCCTGCGTGAGCTGGGTGCTGCTGCAGGGGACGAAAGGGAGCAGGAGGTGTGCCTGGAGATGAGGGCCTCTAGCATTGAAGGGGCTGTGCCAGCAGCAGAGGGCTCATCAGGGTCTGAAGAAGACACTACAGGAAGGGAGAGCACAGGCAGAGCACAGGATGATGAGGGAGAGGAGGAAGATAAAGGAAGGGAGGCATTAGGGGGAGAAGACCCCCAGGCAGGGGAGGCTTTGGGAGCCAAAGAGATAAGGCAGGAGAGCATGGGCTTGGAGGAGGCTGAAGGCATGTGGGAGGAATCTGTGGACATGTGGGAAGAACATAGAGACACCCAGGAGGGACATGGGGACCTACAGGAGGAGAAGGAGGACCTGGGGGAGGAACACAGGGACCTAGAGGAGGAGCATGGGGACCTGCAGGAGTATGGGGAACTACAGGAGGAGCATGGGGACCTGCAGGTGGAGCATGGGGACCTGCAGGTGGAGCATGGGGACCTGCAGGAGGAATACAGGGACCTGCAGGAGGAGCATGGGAACCTGAAGGAGGAACATGGGGACCTGCAGGTGGAGCATGGGGACACCCAGGAGGAGCATGGGGACCTGCAGGAGGAATACAGGGACCTACAGGAGGAACATGGGGACCTGCAGGTGGAGCATGGGGACCTGCAGGAGGAGCATGGGGACACCCAGGAGGAATTCAGGGACCTACAGGAGGAGCATGGGGACACCCAGGAGGAGCATGGGGACCTGAAGGAGGAATACAGGGACCTGCAGGAGGAACATGGGGACCTGCAGGAGGAACATGGGGACACCCAGGAGCAGCATGGGGACACCCAGGAGCAGCATGGGGACACCCAGGAGGAGCATGGGGACCTGCAGGAGGAATTCAGGGACCTGCAGGAGGAGCATGGGGACCTGCAGGAGGAATACAGGGACCTGCAGGAGGAACATGGGGACCTGCAGGAGGAACATGGGGACACCCAGGAGGAGCATGGGGACACCCAGGAGGAGCATGGGGACCTGAAGGAGGAGTACAGGGACCTACAGGAGGAGCATGGGGACCTGCAGGAGGAATTCAGGGACCTGCAGGAGGAACATGGGGACACCCAAGATGAACATGGGGACACCCAGGAGGAGCATGGGGACCTGCAGAAAGAGTATGGGGACACCCAGGAGGAACATAGGGACCTGCAGGAGGAATATGGAGACCTCCAGGAGGAACACAGGGACCTGCAGGAGGAACATAGGGATCTGCAGCAGGAGCATGGGGACTTGTGGGAGGAACTTGAGGTCTTGAAGGAAGAACAGAAGGACCTGCAGGAGGAACATAGGGATCTGCAGGAGGGGTCTGGAGACCCTCAGGAGGAACCTGGGGAACCTTGGGTGCAGCGTGAGGAACAGGGCTCTGCAGAGGATGGGCTGGAGCAGGAGATGGTGCTGCAGCCAGGAGAGGGGGCATGGGGCAGGGAAGAAAATGACATTGACCAAAAGCAGCAAGCACAGGACTGGGAAGAGACAGCGGAGGGTGAAGAGGAGACAGAAGTCAAAGCTGTCACATCCCAAGAGCCAGCCCAGGTGGATGACAACCCACACGCAGAGGCAGCAGAAAATGAGGAGGGAGATGTCACGTCACCAACAGCAACGGAGGAAGCTCACGAGGGTGAGGATGACGGAGATGCTGGGAGCGAGGTGAAAAGCCAGCAGCAGCCACAGGGCATAGTAGGACAGGAGGCTGAGCCAGCCCCAGGGCAAGAGGAAATCAGGTATGAGGACACTGGGGAGGCACCAGGGGACCCACAGGAGCCAGCTGAGGCGCTGGAGGTGCAGGATGAGGAGCTTAGCTCGGAGCCCATTGAGAGAGGCAGCCCAGACACTGCAGTGCTGCAGCAGGATCTGGGCAGTGGGGCAGAGAGTGATGAGCCCATGAAGGAGGACATTCAGTCAGAGGATGCTCAGTTGGATGAGCCCAAGCTGTGCAGGATGGAATTAGAGGACACGCTGCTCAACAGCACGCCGCTATGTGCACACAGCGGGGAGGTGCTGGAGTCTGATCCAAACCCTCCATCCAGTGGAGGGGATGGGGAAACAGAACCTGAAATGGCTCTGGAGGAGGAAGGGGAGCTGAAAGGGAGTGATGAGGCAGCGGTTCATGCAGAGCCAGAGAGCTGTGAGGAGTCAGGGATGGAGCTGAGCTCTGCGCCAGAATGCACCGAGGAGGAGGAAGGGTACTTCATAGTTTCTGCTCCCAGCCAAGAGGGGTCCAGCATCGAGGAAGCTGAGAACTCAGAGGAATTTGAAGAAATTAAAGTTGAAGCAGCAGAAGACAGAAAGGATGAACTAACAGTGCCTGCAGAAGCCTCTCCAGTGCTAGAGGATGAAGGGCACTTGGAGCCACTTGGGGGGGAAGCTGAAGATGTGAAAATGCCCACGGGAGAACTGGAGATACCAAAGGAGGAGGATGAGGAGGATGCAGGGCGTTTGGCTGCTGAGCTGGAGGAAGGACTGGCTGTGTCCGTGGATGAGGGGCTGTCTGAGGGGCACACTGATAAGACCATCCTGGGTGATGAGGGCCTGGGGGAGGAGGACGTGCAGGGTAGTGACAACTCCCCAGCCCCTGAGACCTCCAACACTGACCCCTCCAACGCTGACCCATCTCCAAGCACCATGCTGGAGCACGGATCTGGCATGGAGGCAGCTGAATATCTCCCCGATGTGCCCACACAGATGCCAGTGGACATCATGAAGGACTCGGATATCCTGGAAATAGTGGAGCAGGCCCTGGAGTTCAATCAGGAGCTGGTACTGGGAGCCAAGCTAGCCAAGGATGGGGAGGGGGATGGTGATACACAGCTCCCACAGGAGGAGGAAGGGGGGTCCTCACCCACTTCATCCAGTGATGAACAGCCAACGGTGCAGGAGGCGGTGGCAGAGCCGGAGCGCACCAAGAACGGGGAGCAGAATGGGCTGCACCGGCAGGCCAGCCTGGAGGACCTGGCTGAGTTCACCGAGGAGGGGCTGAATGGCATCACCCACCCTGAGGAAGCCCCTGCTGCCCACACCCTGCCCCTGCCCAGCAAGCACAGTGGGGCTGAGCCTGTCCCTCCGCTGTCTCCGCTGCAGGACCAAGTCCTGCACCCAGAGCAGGAGCCCTGGTCCTCTGGGGAGGAGTGATGGCGGTGGGACCCCCGCAGCCCCACGACAATCGGACACCTCCCATAGCACTGCCTACGTAGCACACCCGTTTCCCTTTGGTTTGTAACATGTTTTGTGTGGGTTTTGCCTTGTTGAACGGATGTCCGGCACACGGCAACGCAGCTGAGTGAGGGGCCGCATCTTCACACCTCGGAGCAAGGAACCGAGCTCTTTCTCTGCCTCCAGATCCCACACTTGTGCTGGTTTCAGCCTCATTTTGTACCCCAGGTATTTAATTTAAAGGCTGCGTGTCTTCCTTCCCCATTCAGCCCAGTCAGGTGCACGCAGTGTGATTTCCATACAGGCTCACCTTTGTGCTGCACACTGGGATGTCCATCCCCAACCCACCCAATGCTCACAGAGCCGAGCCATGCCGGATGCATCCGCTGCATTGACACTAAGTTAATAAAGCATCGCCCTCCCACTCTGACCTGCCGTATCCCTGCTCTCATTCCTGTGGAGGGGGGGAGATGGATGGGGGAACCCATGGTTTTCGGGCATGTGGGGGTGCAGGGAGGATGTGGTGGTGTTGAGGCTGCTTACCCCTATCCTCCACCCTAGGGATGCTGCTGGGCACGGTGTTGCATGGAGCAGGGGGACGGGTGCCAGCCCACCCCGACCCCATGCCAACACATTCAACAGTGAGACAGCAGAAAGCAGCTGCTATTGCTGCCTGAGCCGGGCACGCTGCCCACGAGGCTGCCCAGTACCCAAGCATCCCAACCCAGCCAAGGCACGTTGCTCCGGCCCCGATGGATGACACATCACCTCCTCTCCATGTGGCACCCAGAGGGGGTCTGAGAGGGGTGGGCAGTGGGGATGGGTGCCAAACTGATCCCCGGACTGCGCGGTTCAATGCCTCTTTTGTGCGTTGGGCAAGAAGGAACGCGCCGACGGCCAGAGAATGGGTGCCCTTATGTGGGCAAAGGGCTGAGTCACGGTGGGCAGGGGATGAGGGGAACCGGGTGGCATTGGCATGCAGCAATCAGCGCTGTGCTGCTCACCCACACGCTGGGTTCAGCCCTCCGTGCCCCTGCCAGCACCGCGCGGAGCCAGGCTGCGATAAGGACCCTGCGTTTATCTGCCTTCGCTGCACAAAGCCCCCGACCCCCTCCCCTGCCCACAGGCGATGGTTTCCTTTTAAGGACAAACTCGAACGAAGCGATACCATAAAAAAAAGTAAAAATAAAAAATCCCCTCCGATTAGTTTAATCAGGCACTGAGCCTGTGTTCAATCAGCCCCTGGCCCACAGCCGGCCCTGCGGAGAGGCCTGGGCAGCATCACCCGATGGCGGCTCGGTGATCCGCGGCGCTTCCCCCCCCTCCCCTCCATCCCCAAAAGCTGTGGGGATGCTGTGGGGTGGGGGAGGTGAAGTGCCGGGCGATGCGGGGGGCGGCATTCCTCCCAAAATTAATACGCATTCCAGGCGGCCCAGTGCTGACAAAGAGACGAGGGGGGACAGATGGTGGGGGCAGCTCCCTCCTCACCCTGAGGAGGAGGAGGAGGAAGGGTCAAGGGCTGGGGGTCACTAGAGGGGTGGAGATGTGTGGCTGCGGGGCACTTGGATGAAAGCAAAGCCCAGCCATGCCTGACCGGAGACAGCATAAAGTGCAAGAGTGGATGTCCCCAAATGGGACATGAGTGCCCCCAAAAGGGGCTACCCCCTTTCTTGGGTACCAACCCCATGGGGATCCCCTTCTGCACACCCATCGCCCCAGGGCGGGGATCACCCCGTGCCCATCGCCCATGGGAGCACATATGCACTCTGCCAGCCAAAAGTCACTGGAGCAAAGCAGAGGCCGCCACCCGCCTCGTTAAATCCAACCAGCCGAGCACATCTAATCTAATCTGGGGGGCAATGGGGCTTTTGGGGGTGGGGAGGGAGGTTGGCTGTTCAAGCCTGACCCCTGAAAACTGCTCACACACCGTAAAGGACGGAGTGTGTGAGCAGCACATGCAAGGGCTGGTGGGCACGGCATGGGCACAGCATGGGCCACTGTGCTGGCAAAGTGGATGCTTTAAGAGTCTCGAAGACCCCCTCAGCCTGGCCCCCTGCCAGACAATTACGGGTTTTGTTTCCTTTAAGGCTGGGCAGAGAGGGAGTTTTCAATGGAGCCCACACAAAACCTCCCTGTGGGATGAGCCCAGCACCAGGAAAGGAGGGGGGGGGCGGGGGGGGGGGAAAGCGAGACAGGATGACCTCAGCGATGACTTCACTGTGCTCACAGTTCCCAAAAAAATCGCAGAAACCTTATAAGGAAAGGACTAAAAATACACTCGGAGGGGTGCAGGCAGCCCCCACTCCTCCTCCCCAAAATGGAGCCCTCATGGATGCTCCATGCAGGCAAATAGGAGACACATGGGCGATGCATGGAGGGGACAATCGATGGGGGCACGATGGACTTGCAGAGAGAGGCAGGCTGTTCCCCAGTATGATGCCATGGGTTGGGCAGCAAGTTCCCCCAGCCTGGCATCATCCCCCCTTGCCGGGACCACTCCATCTATCCCTTCTCAGCACCCAGGGACGTGCTACCAAGACGCCTCCACCACCTCCTCCCTACCTTTCAGTGGGGTCATGCGCTGCCAGGAATAGCTTCTGCTGGCTATAATAAATGCTGCCCTGGTGTCAGGGGCTCACCCAGCTGCTGGGCCATGACCCCCCGACAGCTGCTGCCAAATCGGGGTGACGTGGATGCCTGTGGCCAAGCCCAGGGTAGGAATGTGCGCCTGGAGCCATCCATCAGTGCTACAAAGCATCCCCAGCCTCAGCTCCAGGGTGATGCAAGCCCTGGGGCCACGCATCCCCATCCCCTTGTCCTGTGATCCAGGCTCAAAGAAGAACTCACATGCCTATCCCCGTGCCTTTCTCTCCCCAAAACTCTCCGATGTGCAAAAATGGCACGGTGAGAAGGACGGTGCCCATCGACCCCGCTGCTTATCACCACTCCAAACGCCGCTTCCGCCTGCCTGCAATCAACTTGGCACCAGAACAACCCATGCAGGATGTGGCATGCAGCCTGTGCCCTGTCATTAGCGGGAGCGAGGGAGGAGGTGTGGAGCAGGAGCGGGATGGGACAAGGGCTGTGTTGAGGTAGCAGACACGTGAGTGCTGGTGCTGTGCCTCAGTTTCCCTCATCCAGCTACCTCAGGATAGCCATGGGGGCTTTAGTGCACCCGGAGCTGACTCACACCCGGAGGAAACGCTGACAAAGCAGCTCCTTCCTCACTGGGGACCGGCATGCAGGTGGCACGGGACAAACAGGGCTCTTCAGGTGGCCAGAGCCGAACCTGGGGCCAACCTTCCTTTGGCCAGATCTCGCAGACACAAAGCTGATGCCCACTGCAGCTTGGGCCATGGGTCAGAGAGGCAGACTTTGGCAGGGGTCATGCTGCTTGGGACAGGATGTGACTGCATCAGCCCTGAGTCACCACAAGCAGCTGACAGAGGAGAAGTGGCCCCGTGAAGGTCCCACAGCTCCAAGTCCCAAATAGCTCCCACTGCATCCCTCATCTTGGGACAACGTCCCCAGTTTGGGGGCCACATCCCACCTTTGCTTTGAAGACCACATGCCCACTTAGGGCACTGCATCCCTTGTGCAGCTTCTTGCTGTCAATCAGCTGCAGCATCGCTCAGGAATTCAGCGTAAATCATCCCCCTCCCCCTTATTTCGGGCAGGTGGGCCAGGGGTCGCTGAAACCCCAGCACAGTGACAACTGCCCGGTGGGTTTGGATTTCACAGCAGAGGGGCTGGTTGGGGATTAACGGCCCATGGGGACAGCAGCGGCATGCCCGACCCCTCGGCTCGCCCGGAGGCTGCTGCTGCTTTCCCAAACATGGCCAGGGGCTCGGAGAGCCGCTGACTGGGCTGAGCGGGGCAGGTGGAACTGCCCCAGCCCCGGGCTGTGGCACCCGGGCACGCTGTCGTCCTCCCCCCCGCTCCGGGCTCACGCCTGCATGGGGAGGAAATGCCTTTGCCCTGAGCGAGTCCCGGCGCTGAGAAGCGGGGAAGCAACTGGTCCACGTCCCCGTTGTGCTGCAGGTGATGGAGCGGCTCCCACTACGGGTAGGGGCTGCAGGGTCTGCGCAGCCCTACCGCTGTGCTGCTATGGAGAAAACGATGCCGTCGGTGCTCCCCCTCCTGAAAGCAATGGGACAGGACCGTGTGTGTGTGCGGGGGACGGACGGACGGACAGACGGACAAACCCTCGCTCAGCGTGCTCTCAACCTCCAGCACCCGCTGCCACCCTCAGCCACGAGCGCCCCCTATGGGCACCACCTCATCTCCCCCCCCCCCCCAAAAAAAAAAAATCCTACGAAACCAACAACTTCTATTCGGGGAGGTGAAGCCAACCATGCCCCAAATCATCAAAAGTCCGCAAATCCCCCCCCAAAAAAATCCCTCCCCCCAAAAATCCCCCCCCAAAAAAAGTCCCCCCCAAAAGACCCCCCCTAAAAGTCCCCCCAAAAGCCCGCGCAGCCCCCCGTTCTCCCACCGCGCGCTATGGCGCCACCTGCCGGAGAACCACCGCTTTCGGCCTTTCCACTCTTTCACTTCATTGGCCAACCGAACTGACCAATGAAAAAGGAGGCGTCTACCCTGTACTGCCATCGCAGCCAATCGCAAGACGGCGTTCTTCCGGCCTGCCCGGAAGAGCCGGCAGGCGGAGGGAGGCGTGCTCAGTAGGCGGGTCTTCAAGGATGAGAGCCAATGAGGGCGGAACGATCGGCGTTGGGGGCGTGTCCGTCTGTGGGACTTCCAGCCAATGGGGCGCGCGGGGGGCGTGGCCGGGCTTCCAGAGAGTTCGGAGACGGGCGGCGGAGCAGCGGTGAGTGCGGGGGGGGGCATCGCCCCCGCTGCCCCCCGGCGCCCCCCGGGTCCCCACCTCCCCCACCCCTCCCGCCGGTAGCGGCGACCCCGACCCCTCATTTCCCATCCCTGTCGGCCCGGCCCGAATATCGCCTTATCCCCGCGGGGACCCTCGACGTGTCCCCCCCCCCCCCCTCCGTCCTTCCCCCCCTTCGACGTGGTGCAGCGCTGTGACAGCCGCGGGGCGGGCGGCGTTGCACGGGGGGCTGTCACATCCCGCAACGGGAACAGCGACTCTGCCTGCTGTCCCCCACAACCGGGACACCCCCGGGGGGCAGCCCCATCCCGGGGCAGCGCGGATGAGCAGAGATAAACCCCCCCCCTTCTTCATCCCCCCAGCGCAACGTTGGGGCTTATCGACGGGCGGCACGCGGAGTGGGGCGGCTGTGGGAGTGGGGAAACTGGAGGGGGGTGGGGGGGGAGGATGCGGGACACGGGGGTGACGCCTCCCCCTCGCAGCAGCGAGGACGATGGTGAAGGAGACGGGTTACTACGACTTGCTCGGCGTGCGGCCGGGCGCCAGCCTGGATGAGATCAAGCGGGCATACCGACGCCTGGCAC